GTGAAATCTCAGTGGGAATCCTCAGCTGTGTTCCCACTTCACCACGCCTGCCCGTGGCTAGCTCGAGGACTCAAGAGCCTCATGACCTCTCCACGTGACTTTCAAAACTTGTGAGCCAGGATTAAGAAGAAAAAAAGAATCTTCCCAGGGTGCCCTAATCATGCGGCTGAGCTCAGGCACAAATTTTTGGGAGAGATGGTTCTCCTCACTTTCCAAATTTCAGAGTCTTGAGTGACGTAGCCATTTCTGTAGGACACAGGTCGTTGAGGATTTGGGTTTTTCAGATGAAGAAACATCAAGCATTGGAGGGGTGACGCTCGCTCCCCTATCAGAGACCTCTTTAGGCTCCGCGTGTCCAGTTACAGCCTCCGCGCATCTCAGTTTTGGCCAAGGGGCCGGAGCGCACCTTCTCTCAACAGCTCATCATCCCTGAAGGGAGCTGAAGTCAAACTCCAGAAGATCTGAGCTGTCCCAGGAAGAAGCAGTCAGAAAGCGGTTTCCATGGGTACAGATTTTGACATTATCAACTGCAAACCTTCACCACCCCAAGATGACAGAACTCCAGTAACTTCAAAAGCTGTTAAGGATAGCTTTAGGGCAAATTTTAATTAAAATTAGATAGCATATATGAAAAGCATCTAATTTGTACTCTATAAAAGAGTTTGGGAGGCGCAGCGGCAGAGCCTCAGGACTGTGGCTGTAACAATTATCTTGCAACTTTTCACAGCAGAATCACAACATGTTAATTTGTTAATGAGTCAGTCAGAGCAGAAGAGTGCTCCTGACAGCAGGGAAGAAAACATACAGATTGCATTTACATTTCTATTTTTAAATAAATTAAATGTTTCCAGTCAAACTCAAACTTCACTTGAAAGTTTGAATTCCTACTAATTTTTTTTAACTTGATTTGCCTGTGAGGTGCAAGGATTATGATTCTGAGAATTCTCAGCGACAACAAGCGGTCTCTTTACTGGCGAGTGCCTAGAATGGCCTCCATGCTACGTGTGGCCATTGCGGGTGGTGAAGTGGTCTTCCTTCCCTGTTGGGGAAGTTCTGGCCCTTGTTATAAATGTGGACTCTCGGGAAGGAGAGAAAAGTACCATAAGACATTGCGAGCAATTGGGCTGTTGGCAACTGCACTTCTCAGCATAATAAAAAAGAAAACCAACTTCAGGAGGCAGGAAGGGAAGGGGCCTTGGAGCAGGGCCAGGGAGCCAGGGAGGGGCAGGCCTGTGGCAAAGGCCACCATTCTCCTGGAGGCCTGCAGATGCCCTCAACTGTGCATCCCGTGGGCTCGCTGGCCTCACCCTCATCCCGTCCCTATCCAAGGAGGACCCACCATGTTCAACACCATCTCATACGGGGGGACATGGAGTAGGAAGATACGGAGAACAATGAAATCTGCAAATGTCACGCAAAAACAAATGCCCATGGGAACACAGTGCCAGGCTTGGGAGGACCTGTGCAAGGGGAGTATAGTGCCCTCAGCTCCATGGTGAGGCCACCTCTGTGTGCAACATCTCCTGTGTCCTGCCCCAAACCCCAGGAGACAGACCCAGTTCTTAACCAGCAGCAGAGAGGAAGAAAGCAGGAGGTCCCATACCGGAGGGGCGTCACACACAGCACAGAAACCTGACTCGGGTCTGCTGACCCCAGACCTGTACTCTCACCTCCCCTGGCCCCAGGGAAGGATCTCTCCATTCATTGTTCTCAAACCAGGGAATGGAATAGTGGGACACAGGTGTGACAAGAACAGGGTCTGGAGCAGTGTGTCCAATGCAGGATGACACACACATTGGAGTATCAAGCGCAGGGGTCGCAAGCAGGAGGATGGGCAGAAATTCCAGCTGCAAAACACCCTTCTCCTGAGACAGGTGAGCAGCCCCTGGAGGAGCTGGAGGGGGACCCCAGGGCAGGTAGGCGGGACCACTTGTTACATTTTTTAAACTTCTACCCTCCTGATAGACAAGCTGGGACACTGCCTGTCTTGGGGGGCAGGAGAGGGTGAGGAGCCTCGGTGCAGTGGGAAGGCTATTTTCCTTCCCTCCTTCAGCCTCTACTCCTGGCCACTTGGGCTCCCACCTGCTCTGCGTGGTCCAGGTTGGCCTGTCAATCCCCCCCAAGGGGTGGGCACAGAGCCTAGCTGGCCAATGAGAATGTCCCATTTCCTTGGATGCTGTGATTGGTCCAGAAGTGGGCCCAAGATGCCAGCAGACCAATCAGAATCCTTCCCTGGGATTCCAAGGCAGCTGCTGGTTTGGGTGGTTGCTGGCTGTCCTTGGGACCTTAAGCTATAAGGATGCTCTGGGGTGGGCCACCAGGGCCTGTCTTCGTGCCTTGTGGTAGAAGCCTAAGAGAGAAAGGAAAGCGAAAGCCTAAGAGAATCAGAGTCGAGAGCCTGAAGGAGACAGAAGGAGTGGGAGGAGTCCTGGCAGCTCCCAGCTGCCCCCAAGGGAGCCCACCTGGAAGTGGGTCTCACCAACTCCTGGCGTGGCCCTGGAAGAAAATGCCATTGTCACCAACTCATTCTACAAACGAGGAAACTGACACGATGCAAAGTTCATCACTTGCTCAGAGTTCACATGGCACTGGGAGCTTTAAACTGACCAGTGCATTGACCCACTTCAGTGGATTCACTGGGTGGTCATGTGGGCAGGCAGGGTGTGGCTGGAGGAGGTGGTCACTGGGTGTGCCTTGGGGGTGTGTATTTTGTCCCTGGTGAGCAGAGCCCCTGTGCTTCCTGCTGCCATCCCTGTGTTGCTGTTTTCTTCCTGGACGTTCTGCCTCTCCTCTGGCCTGGAGCTATGGAGTCGGCCAGCTGTGGACTGAGACCTCTGAGACCACCAGCCCCAGATAAATGTTTCCTCCTCTGGGTTCTTCTTGTCAGGTCTTTTGGTCACAGCAGTGGAAAAGCTGCACCACACACGGCAAGGGGTGGCACGGCCCCACTCTGAAGCCTGGGTCTTGGTTCTCTGGGTGCTTCATATGGTCCACGTGCCAGGTGTGGGGGTCAGAAGTCACACTGCCCTGCCCTCGCCCCGAGCTGCGGGAGCAAGTGGGAAGCCTCTGAGGTCATGGCCCAACTCCAAGAGTGTTGCTGGGAGGGTGGCAGCCAGCAGGCTCCTCCAAGATGTGTGGATTGAGACGGAAGTGGGGACTGGAAAGAGGGGTGGGGCAGGGGATTCAGGAGAGCCCAGGCTGGGGGCTGGGGGGCTAATAGTAAATGAATAAACCAGATACAAAAGGACAAATATGCGGAGTGCAGTGGTCCACGTCTGTAATCCCAGTGGCTCGGGAGGCTGAGGCAGGAGGATTGCAAGTTCAAAGCCAGCCTCAGCAACAGCACAGCGCTAAGCAACTCAGTGAGACCTTGTCTCTAAATAAAGTACAAAATAGGGCTGGGGTGTGGCTCAATGGTTAACTGTCCCTGAGTTCAATCCTGTACCAAAAAAAAAAAAAATGGACAAATACTTTATGATTCCACTATGAAATATCTAGACTAGGCACATGCAGCATAGAGACAGAGTGGGTTAGCAGTGAACCGGGGCCAGGCATGTGGGAATGGGGAGTTATTGCTTAATTAGTAGAGTTTCCATTAAGGATGGTGAAATAGTTCTGTAAATAGACCGTGGCCACGTTTGCACAACACTGCAAATTTAATTAAAGCCACTGAATTAAATGGAAAATTTTATATTATGTATATTTTACCAAAGAACTTTTTTTCATGATCTCTCAGAGTCAAACTGAAGAGTCCAGTTCTAGCACAGGTTTAAAAACCCCAAGGAAGGTCCCAGAGGAAGGGGTCAGATTACATGCTTTCCCGGGATCTCTGGCGAGTGCCCTGTGACGTCCAACCCGTCCCATCCCTGGGTGAATTACAGAAGAAAATCCAAACTCCACACAGATGCAGCTTTTGCTTTACGAAACTCTCCGGGCAGTTCGAGCTGAAGTTGACCTAGAAGGAATGAAAAGGAAAAGATTTTTTGGCCAAATTCTGACGAGGGGATGACAATTGATCTCAGGAAAAACAAAACAAAAACCAAAACAAGACAAGCTGGTCCGGGGGCTCCGTCCTCCCGGAGAACCCAGGCCACCCCAGTCCCTCCGCACAGAGCTGCCCGGGCGCCACGGCCCATGCCCTTCATAAACCAAACAAAAGCTCCCAAACCTGATAACAAAAGGTTGAAGAAACAGATCTCAGCCCAGCCACGTGGCTAGATGCTGCGGCCACAGAACTGCTGCCCTCAGACGGCCCCGCAGGGAGGCCGCTCACCGCCACCCGCCCAGAGCCACACCGCAGGCTGCCCGAGTCCTCCAAGGGCACGTGGCTGGTCTGGAAGACCCCGGATACAAACTCTCCTGTCTGTCTGGTTACAGAGATGGCGCTCCTCATGCCTGCTTGGTGTCATGTAGGAAGGTGTCACTGAGAGGAGGATGCAATGTGGCAGGTGGGACAACACAGCCTCATGCATTCTGAGAAGCCTGGTGGTGGCCTGTGTCCCTCAAAGTCACATGCTGAGGGCTTGGCTGCCAGCCTGTGGGCCTCATCAAGGAAGGGGGTCCCTGGAGACATGTCCTGGCAGGTGTGTCTTGCTCCTGGCCTCTTCCTCCCTCTGCCTGCCCCTGCCCCTCTCTCTCTGCCATGAGGTAGGTAGCTCGACTCCACCAGACCCTCCTGGCCATGATGTTCTGTACCCTCCCCCGCACAGGCCCAGACTGAAAGCCCTGGAACTCTGAGCCAAAATAAACCTTTCCTCCTCTAAGCTGATTTTCTCAAGAATTTGTTCAGCAGCAGAAGGGTGGGTAATGTAACTTACGCATAGGATAAAACATAAGGATTTAAACCAAGAGTTTCACATTAATGATGTCTTCAGGGGGGACCCAGGAGGACTTATTTTCTCCTGTATGTTTATATATATATATATACACACACACACACACATAATTTTAAAAAAATTGTTTTGGTACGAGAGCGCTTAAGCACTGAGCCACATTCCCAGCCATTTTTATTTTTTTATTTAGAGACAAGGTCTTTCCAAGTTGCTCAGGGCCTTGCTAAGTTGCTGAGGCTGGCTTTGAACTTGCGATCCTCCTGCCTCAGCCTCCTGAGCTGCTGGGGTTACAGGTGTCTGGCGATATATATATATATAATTTAATTGTTCCAGGCCTGGGGCTGTAGCTCAGGGGTAGAGTGCCCAAGGCCCTGAGTTTCCCTAGCACTGTGGGGGGAAAAAATCTGATTTTTCTGTTTCTGTGCCGTCCAATACAGTAATGAGTATTCAGATGTGTTTATTGAATTCTAATTAACTGAAATTCAATGCAATGAAGAACTCAGCTCCTCGGCTACACTATATGCATTTCAAGTAGCTGTGTGAGGGGGCAGCTGAGGGTGTTGCAGGCAGAGGAGATAGGTGTAGCTAGAGAGCACTTCCATCATGGCACAGCGTCTGTTTAACAGCACCGATCATAACTTCTTAGGTAATTAAACATGTTTGTAAAAACAATTCAAGGCAGCAGAGGAGAAGAAAGCACTCTGCAGAGCCAGGTTTGCTCCTCGAAGGCCCAAACGCTGCTGCCTCTTCCCATGTGCAGGGTAGGAGTCAGTGGAGAAGCTATGGAACTGAGGGGCAGGTGTGAGGTCAGCCTCCCCAGGGCCACTGCGTGGTCCGCAATGGCTGCAGCGTTACCCATTTGCCTCTCACCCCGACTAGCTGGTGCATCCTGTGTGTCGGGGTAGGCAGCTGAAGTGAAAGGGCATTCTTAGCTGGGGAGCGGGGAGGGTGCTGATGCCCGCTGAGTTTACAGTTATGTCCGCTACTGACTGCAGGTGGCAGAAAACTCCATGGGTCTGACTCGGCTTGGAAAGGATAGCTCACCCACTGGCACCAGATGCCACTCAGACTTGAAGAGCGTCAGCGGGGTGAGAGTCTTGGTTTGCAGATGGCGGTGGAAGCCTCGAAGCTCATGTCCAACATACAGTGGAAGGGAGGGAGCTGCGGTCCTCAGCCGACACGTCGGTGTGCGTTGTTGACTTTAATTGGGTGCCTCAATCACGGGGGAGCTGATGGCTGGAGGCTTGAGGTACTCTCCTAAGAACGGGAAAGGGTGTCCCCGAGACACTGCACTTTATCTGGAAGCAGAGAGAAAGGATGGCGTCACGGAGTGGTGACTCCGAGATGGTAACCGGCGGCCAGGTCAGGGAAGGAAAGGCTGGGGTAGCCCGGTTCCCCTTGCTCAGAACACACTCCAGCCCTGGAGGTGGACAGATGGCACCAGAGACAGTGCAGAGGCTGAGGAGAGAAAACTCTGAGGACAGAGCTTCCAAATTCAACCCTGAGGTCACTGGAGCCAGGAGAGAGAGAACCCTCCTCAGGTCACCCTCTGTGAAAGGGCCCATTCCTAGGAGTGTTTGTCTAACCTTTCCTTTAACCAGGAAACCACAACGGGATTAGCCATCTTCTGCAAAGAAACTCTTCGGGTGATGTTGTCTGGGAACAAATTTGCATGGCACCCAACGCAAGCCGCACTGTTTTTTTACCTTAATGGATGATACCTCCAAAGGGCCCTCTACAAACTTCTGCACCAGCATCTATCCTGATGCCCAACTGCTGTTTCTCTGTGTTTATCAATTTTTCTCCATTCACCTCCACCTCAGATCCATCTGTTTGTCCATCCGTCCATCCATCCATCCAAATTTTCTGTGTTTTTACAGCATTTTTAAGGATTTTTGTCTGATTTGAGGATCACTGGGGGATAGTTGATTCTTCCCCTTGCTCAGCCTTACCCCTGAGCAGAGCCTGTTCTATAAAGAGCTGAAAGCCGACTACCCATCACCCACCCCGTAAGCCACTGCGCAGGGAGCAGGGGACGCAGATTGACAGGGGAGGGTCCTGATCAAGTGCCTGTGAGAGTGAGTGTCAATTTACAGCCTTGGAGGAGGCAAGGGGTGGAAGCCCACCCATGCCTGTCTCCTCAGAGACCTGCCGTGTGCATCCACAGAGAGGCTGAGCTCAGCTCCCCACCCTCCTGCTCAGTCCCTCAGCAGAACGGGGCCCCCCTCCCCCTCCCCCTCCCCCCAGCACCTTCAGTTTCCACTTGTCCTTTGAGCAGATTCCCGTGTTCCCTGTTTGGGTGAACAGACCTCAGGCTGGGTGCAAAGTTGGGTTGCTGCGCCCTCTCCCAGGATGTGGCTTGTGGTCTCTCTTGTGCAGGAGTCACCCCAGGGCTTCAGGACACCCCTCCGCAGGACAGGGCGATGCTGATCCGTAGGCAGCTGTGGCCAGCAGGCAGCAGGGCGAGGAGACAGCATCACAGGAGGGACGGCTGTGCCACGGCCTGCGGGCTGTGGCCCCGGGGAGCAGAGCAAGGGCAGGTTCAAGTTCATCTGGCAGAACTGAAACAAGACCAAGTGAGGAGCCAGACCAGCAGCCCTGGGCCACGGGGGGGCGGCGGGGGATTTTAGCCTATGTCCAAAGAGCAGTGGAGGGTTGTGAGGTTTTAAACAGGGAAGAACTTGATCAGTAGTTATTTAGCCAGCTTCCAATATCACAGAGAGAGGTTGTAACGTGAGAAATTAGAATCCACGCCAGATTGGCCGCCCTAGAGGGACAGGGAGAGTCCCCCCACAGAGCCCTCATTCTGGCACCGCCTTGCTTAGGGCCCACAGACTCGTTCCCTCTGCCCGCCCACAAGTCAGGTCCAGGTTCCCGGCTCCTCAGTCCTCCAGAACTTCACTGCCGTATGGGTCCTGCAGCTGTGGGTGTCTTGACCAGTGGGGCCCAACTCTGCTGGAATGCGTAGCCCGTGGCCAGCTGGGCCTCCTCACCCAAAGATGCCTGGGAGGTCCCCACCCTTGTCCCCCAGGGTCCTCCACGGGCCTGTGGCCAGTGACCGGCTAATACAGAATACAAAGCTCCAGGCTCTTTGCCTGAGGCAGGTGACCTGTGGGTCAGGACACTCTTCAGTTCCCGTGGGCTTGGGCTACAGGTAGCCATGAACTAAAACCATGTTGCCCAGCCTCCTCCCCACCTTTGCGCAGACTCCCTCCTTCCCTGTGGGTGTCTCCCGGGAGACATCATGAGTCACTTGCATGAGATTCTGTCTGAGCCGCTGCTCCAGGGAACCTGACCGAGACAGGTAGACGCTGGCTTTATATTTGAGTGAGAAGAGTGATGTCTCCAAAGGGGTCCCCATCAAAGCCCGTTCCTGCTCAGCCCTGTTCCCCCTCTGCCTAGGAATAGTCCTTAGTTTGCTCAGGGCCTCCCCCTCAGGAGGGGAGCCCTAGCCCAAGCCCAGTGACTGACTCCCAGCCAACCACATAACCACATGCTCTGTTCCAGGCACAGCTGCTCTGGGTGACTCACCTGATTGTCTGCCTGGGGCTTCTGGGAAACTTCCCTGCTGGGAGCCAGGGCCTCTCTTCTTGCTCTGGAAGTCGGTGCATCTAGAGGGGGTTTGGAGCCACACCAGCGTGACCGGAAAGGAGCTGGTCTCAGGATAGCTCGAGCAGAACCCTGACAGGGGCTTCCATCCTTGGGACACTGCATGGCCCCCCTGTGAAGCCACCCTCCCCACTTAGTGGAAGAATCCTTCCTGCTGTTTAAGGATGGTGTTGCTGTTGGAGCAGGCAGAGGGTCCTAACCGATGGCAAACGCTGTCTCTTCTAGAAAGCATAATCTACAATTGTGGAAACTGCTGATTGTCTACCTTCAAAATCACTTCAGCTCCAGTCTCCGCTCCCTTCTCCTTTACATGGAGAAGCCAGAGACAAAAATCCAAAACGTATCTGTTTTCAGTTCCTGCTTTTCCTGTCGTCTAAGCTGTGTAGATCCCAGGCATGAACTTGTGTAAGGAGAGAAATGCAAATGGCAGACGCGACCCATCGGGGGCTTTCTCAGAGAGAGGATGTGGGGAACTCCCGTCAGAAGAGATGTCAGAGTGGGGCTGTGACTTGGGACAGGCCAGTGCCCGTGAGGGCACCGTAAGTCACCATGCTGTTTCTCCCATCCAAGGGCACTGCAGGGAAGGATCTGGAGACTTGGCAAATGGCCTATGGCAGAGGTCAGAGAGGCGTGGAGGACGGGCAGGCCAACCGTAGATGGGTCACGGTGGAGACAATCTGTGAGTGTCCTGGGGCCGCCACGGAAGAAACCGCTTGCTGAAGTGTCTTGAAGGACGGAAGCATGTTCTCTCACAGCTCCGGAAGGCGGAAGGCGAGATCCAGGAGCCCACACCGGGGCGGCGCTGTCTCCCAAGGCACCAGGGGAGGGCTGAGCCAGCTCCCCATCACCCTCTCCACGTCCACACCTGTTTGTGGAAGGCCACCAGGCACACTGGGCCCCGGGCCTCGCCTTGACCTCCTTGCTTCCGAATAACCCTGCTTCCCAGTAAGGTCACACTCAGAGAGACTGGGGGTGAGGTCTTCAACAGATGAACCTGGGCGCCCAGGACACGATTCCTCCCTTAGCAAGTGTCGAGGCCAAAGGGCTGCCCTCAGTGTGGGCCGACGGTGTTCTGCACACCTCCCGTTTATTCCTAGGACAGCCGTGTGAACTCAGGCTTGGGGAATAAGTTTTTAGGGCAATATAACTACCTAAGGGCAAGGAAAATTCATACCTCCCCACTCCATGCTGTTAGAGGGAGACGCTCCCAGGCCCACCCGCGGGCTGTGGTGATCACTGAGTAAATGGAATTTGTGGTGCCCTCTACGCCTGGTCCACAGTAAGTGTTCACTAACCACAAACAGAGATGTCGCTGAGCAAGGGGCAAATCTGGGGAAGCCAAAGCAAGGCTGTGGCCGGGTGGGAGCCCAGCAGCCCACAGACCTCTGGGGTCAGCTTGTGCCTGGGGTTTGGCCCCTGGTGGTGTCTTGACATTTAAAATCTGGAAGACGTCACCCAAGAATGTAAATTTTTGGCTTTGTCTGAAGGATCGCGGAGACCTGGCACGGTTCCCTGTGCTGGAGCGTGCGGGTCCTGCTGGGCCCTGACCTGAGCCAGGTTTGTGGCCCTCTTCCCCTGGCTCTTTGAAAATATTTGCAGCCTCTGGAGCCCCATCCCCCGCCCAGGACTCTGCCCCAGGATCCAGCACTGAGTTCAGAAGGGCCTCCCCGCCCATCCCCCACCCTGGTGGTCCCCACCATCCCCTCCCTCCCAGCAGGGGGACATCCCAGCCTCAGCCCCTGCTCCTGCAGCCCTCACCCCAGGTGGATCCCAGGCCCTGGGGGGCTCCTTGGGCAGGCTGCTCACCAAGGCTCCAAAATGGCTTGTTTTTCTGAGTCTTCCCAGGCTCCTCTGGGCTCTCGGTTTACATCTGCTTGATTTTATCTCATTGGGCAGCAAAATGTGCACAGGAATTTGGAGAATTGAGACCACATGTGCAATGAGAGAGCTGCGTGGAGGCTGAGCCTCTACGGAGACCCAGGAGACCCAGGAGCCCACTCCTCCTGGCCCAGCAGGGTGGGCGCTCACGGCTGGGAGCAGGAGCCCAGCCTCCAAGAGCCTCACACGTTCAGAGACGGTGCTGCAACCTTGGCACTTTGGAAAGGGAGAAATCAAGTCCTAGAGAGATGACAGGCTTATCATGTGTCACCAAAGTGGCCTAGGCAAGAGCCCGGCGTGACCTGATCCATTTCCAGTAGACCTCCTTACTGGGATCCGTGAGAGACTGAGGATTCTTTCAGGGCCATTTCTTTTAATCCATTTTTGCTTTGGGGTCAGAAAGACTCATTCCCCCCATTCTAGACATGAATCTCTTCACCTCTGATATGGGAGTAGCCATGATGCCCTTGAAAGGACGGGGTTGGCCACAGCACAGAAACCCCCAGGCCTGCTGGGCTGAGCGCTGGGACTCAGAGCAAAAGACCTGGCAAGAGCTGCCAGGATGCTCTCAGCAAATATTTACTGAGCATCTACTACATGCCAGGCACTGTCCAGGCCCTGCAGTCCTGTCCTGCTGGGCTGCAGTTGAGGGGCTTGGGTTGAGTGCCTAGGGGCAAAGGGGTAGAATCCCCGGGGGAAGCTGGGAGGCCTGATGGAAGGGGAGGTGGAGCAGAAAAAGTGAGAACCATTAGCTTCCACAGGCTAGTGATTCCCAGGCTCCTCAGCCCCGGGGACCTTTAGCAATGTCTGGAGACAGTTTGGCTTGTCAAAACCCAGGAGGCTCATCGCTAATGGTCTCTAGAGGGTAGAGGCCAAGAATGCTGTTACACATCCTCCAGGGCGCGGAGACCTCCACTACAGAGCCTGCCCGGGTCAGCAGTGTGGAGCAAAGAAGCCTGGACTGGGAAGGAGCAGGGGTGGAGGGAGGGGACAGTGGGAGAGGTGACCTTTGCCACAAGCCCAGGTGCCCCGTGCCGCTTCTCTCTGGGCTTGCCTGCTGCCTCGCCGGAAAATGCCCAGGTAGGCAGGAGGCCCAGCAATGAGGCCAGGGCCTTCCTGCCTCCCCTTGGTTGCAACAGGCAGCCTCTACTCCACGCAGGCGCATTGGGGTGACGGGAACAGATGCTACCCAACACTGTGAAGAGTCCCATTCGGGTCTTGCTTTGGGGGTTGAGGGGGCGATCGCTGTGGCTTCCTGAGAGGCCCCCTAATTGCTTGGTTTCCGTGAGAAGCTCTCTTGAGTGGAGTGTGTGCCTTCGCTAGGGGAAGGGGGAGGACGTCGCTAGGGGAAGGGGGAGGGCGTCGCTAGGGGAAGGGGGAGGGCGTCCTGAAAGCCTAGTCTGGATGGAGATTTTCTCATTAATTCCCAAACAGACATGAACCCGAGCAACCACTAGAAACCCAACCCAGCGTTCAGGAGACTCAGCAAGTGGGTCTCAGGAAAACAAAAATAAATGGGAAAACCCCAAACAGGAAGCAGACCTATTTAGCGGAGCGTTCTGGAAGATCTGATCTTGGCCTGGAACCAGACGCCGAAGCCCTAGGCCCTGCTGGCCGTTTCCTGAGGTCCCCACCCAGGCAGCCGCGTTCATTCCAGGGCCGGGGAGGACCGTGATGCACAGGGAAGCAGCCGCCCCCGCTCAGCGCACGTTCATCAGCCGCTCACAGACAGCTCCTGTCCCCTGCTGCTCCTTAGCTGCTGGTGGGTTCTGTGGGTCCCCAGCCGGACGGCGCCGTCTCCTGGCCCACAGACACTGACATCGCTCGCACACGTGGTTTCAAGGTGCCAAGCATGGGGTCAGCCCCGGGGGGGGGGCGTGTGCCCAGGGCCTGCGACGGTGCCCGTCCACCAGCAGTGCGGGTAGCCTGAGGAGAAGCCAAGAAGGAGCAGGGCCGCCGCCTGGGCCAGGCAGACTGGGGGCTGGGCTAACATCCCTGACCTCCCAGAGGGGGGTTGTTTCTGTGTCCCTCCCAACAGGTTCAAGGACACAGTAGTAGCCCAGGGAGAAGTACTGGGACTTCGGACCCCCG